AAGTTCGACCAACGCAATTAAATGTCAAAAGAAAGAGTCGAAACACAACGCCAACACTTAGAATTCCTTTGTCATCAATAAGAGGAAGATCAAATGTTGAAGGATTTGAAAATTCTTCGGACGAGCGAGGAAGATATGTCACCATGAGATTTGGGAGTGCTTCATGCGATGAAGGAAAAAATCCGCAAGAGATATTTGGTCTAGGACTATCGTTTAATGTTTTTAAATTAAGATTATCGTATTTTATTTTCTTGTAACGTTTTTTTTTAATATTATATCTAAATTAAGATTTATTTAAATGAAATGTTTTGTATTTTTTTTATAATTAATAAAAAATCGAAAAAAATAGAAAAAAATAAATAGAAAACAAAAAATACCCGAAAAAAATAAAAAAGAAATGATGACATAGAAATTTTATTGGGTGTTATAAAATGTTGTCTATTTCCTCACTTGGTGTTATAACACCATATACGACATGTCATGCGATATGACAACTTTTGGATGTGATAAGATGTCTTAACATGTTGGTCACACCCAATAGCCTAAACATGAAAATTTGGATACAAATTTAACTTAACTTATATTTATTTAAATTTTATATATTAAATAAATTTCAAGTTTCAACCATTATAACTACTATAATTATTCATCTTACATTAGGCATTCTTCAATACATACCACAAGAAAGGGTGTGGTCCATGTGGCCACGATCGTGCTTCGTAAACACAACCCCGAACCTTCGTTGTCAGGCGTGATCGTGGTGTTCCGTGAAGCCAAAAACGAGCTGCAATGCCGAATCACAACCATTTACTATTTGACACTTCCTTGGTCATGTGTAACGGCTATTTGGCATTTCTTTTATTTTTTATTTATTTAAATTTTTACCTATATAAATACCAATACAAACGTTCTTATACTTCACACAATTATTCTAGCTTTTTATTCACATTCACATGTTTGTGTTGCTCTTTCAAAACTCATGGCTCCCAAAATGATAAATTGGTCAGAAAATGAAAAAGAGAAGTTAGCACAAGCATGAGTGTCGGTTTCAGAAGACAGAGATAGTCAAATCTCTAGAGATTTTTTTGGGAAAAGTTTGAAACGTTTTGTATTGTTTAATGGGTTGTCCAAGTCGAAATCTTGATGAAATATATTCAACGTGGCGCGGTATGAGGGTAAAATGTTGTGAGTTCGATGGAATTTACAACTACGTTTGTTATAAACAATGTACACGAAGACGATATCAATCCAGTTAATATGGCCATGGATCAATATGAAAACACAAACCACAAACGTTTTACACATTTCAAAACTTGACAAAAGTTGAAGGATTCCCAAAATGGAATAACGTTGTTTAAAAAAATTGGATTAAGAGTAGAGATGCATACAAAAAAAACCGGTTTCACTATTCAAAACCGGATCCAATCAGAAACTGGATTGGGTCAAAACCGGTTTTGACCAAACCGGATCGGATCGGATTTAAACCGGATTTTCAATCGGATCCTAATCCTATATTCCAAATCGGATTTGATACCGGATCGTAAATCGGATTCGCTAAAAACCGGATCCAAATCCGCCCCAAAATCCGATTAAAACCCACTAAAATCGGTTTAAACTGGTTTCAAATCGGATTAGAATCGGATTCGGATTTTGGTTGGAACCGGATCGGATTTTGACCGGATTCGGATCGGATTTTGACCGGATCGTATTTTTGATGACGTAAGCGAAACCGGATTGGATTCGGATCCAGATCGGATCGGATTCGGGTTTTGTGCATCTCTAATTAAGAGTAGTTGTTTGTGTTTGAATTTTTTATGTTTTCTTCTATTTTATTTCAAATTGTCGTTTTTTTTAAAAATAATGTAATCACTTTTTTTAATATAATGAAAATCTCGTTTAAAAAAATACATGTTTATTGTATTTTTAAATTAAATTTAATTAAAAAAATGATGTAGAGTGATATGTTAGTGGCAGATATCCTATTGTGTTAGTGGTATTATGTGATGATGAGATGACACTTACAAGTATAATGATTAGTGATGTGTATTGTAGAAGGCTTATTAAATGTATCTCTTATTATATGGTCAAAGATAACCATATTGTGTAATTTTATTATTTTTTATTTAGTGTAAAAATTATTTTTATTTTATTAAATTTTTTCTAGAAGAAATAATTTTTTTTATTATTAAAAAGCAAAAATCTAACAAGATGCTAAAGGTACACGACATTACAACCAACAACACCAAGATTAGAACATCATGTCAACCAATTTAGCAACAACATATCTTAGATTTCTTATTAATCCAATAAAATAATAGGGAATACACTAGATACAAAAATTTCATGTTTCTTTTCATTGCAATTGAAAATCAGTTTATTTTTTAAATCATAGACAACCAAACAATTAGTTAATTTAACAACATAATTTTTCCATATGTTAACTATAATATTCATGATCAGTGCGCAAATATATTCTTAGTTTAATACGAAACGTGAATGCATATGTCCCAATATAAATCAAGATGCACATGCATAAGAAGATATTAATTATCAGATTTTGGTTTTTCTAGATGATCCATATATTCCTAATTCCATGTGTGTTTTAAACAGGACTTGAACCTTCGATCTTAAGAAAGGAGGAAAACATGTGATATCGCTGATCTAAAAGTAATTTTCATAGGTGTTAAGTAGAACTCGATTTATTTTTTATTTTTTATTTTTTTTGAACTCTTAATGTATCATCTCTAATAAATGAATGGTTTTTTTGCCACTTGACAGACTCTTATTCAATTTGTCAAATGTCATTTTGTGGTTATTTTGAATTATTTTTTTTTCACATATCATTTTATGAATTTTTCTATTTTATTAAATTTCACATAATATTTGAATGTAACAATTGCAATAAATATAGTAATAAATGGATATCAATTTCATTAATAAACTTACATCTTAATTTCAAAATTACTAAAATTAAAACTCATTAGTTTATTTTGTTTATTTAAATTTAAAAGATAAAAAATATTTTCATTATAATAATTAATTATTTTTCTTATTTTTTTATAAATTCAAAGTTATCAAATATTTTAACCTTTATATTTAACTTTTTTATTTTTACTTTATTTATTTATTTTTTAATTATATGGGATATTGACTTGAAAGGGTAACGAACTTTCGACTTTGTTCACATTTAGTCACTAAACTTTTTTTCGTTATCTATTTGTCACTGAACTATTGAAACTGTTCACATTTTACCCTTATGACCGGTAACAACCGGTCATAAGGGTAAAATGTGAACAGTTTCAATAGTTCAGTGGCAATTTGATAATGAAAAAAAGTTTAGTGACTAAATGTGAACAAAATCGAAAGTTCGTTTCCCTCTAAAAAAGTTCAATGACTAAATGTGAATAAACTTCCTCTTGTATTATGTTTTAGCAAATTATTTATTTTTGTTAAATTCTAGCAACATTTGTTGATGAAGAAATCTATGAAATAAAAAAAACAAAACCCCGAAAAATATATTAAAAAAAACGAAAAACCAAAACCGAAATAAAAAACCAATGGTTTGGTATTTTCCAAAATAAAAAATCAAAATTTCCAATCTGATTTTGGTTTTACAGAAAAATAAACCATTCTCACTGATGTGAATTATGACCATTGGTTTGGCATGCGGAATTAAAGAACAAACAAAGAACACGGTGATTTGGGTGTTTAAGAGATGCATTCGATTATGAAAGGTGTTTACAAAAAATTATCTAGATCTAAATCTACATAATTAAAACACACTAACACTCTCAATGTTACATCTCTCAAGCACACCTCTACATGTGGTATGAACCCACCTTATATAGAGGTGTTTACATGTCTCTCTCTCTCTCATGTCACAAGGCTACAAATTTGTGAAATTTTGTTAAAGGCGGTCCGTGAACGAAACAAAATTTCACAAACATCCAAATCACCTTTCATAATCGAATGCATCTCTTAAACACCTAAATCATCGTGTTCTTTGTGTGTTCTTTAATTCCGCATGCCAAACCAATGATCATAATTCATATCAGTGAGAATAGTTCATTTTTTTGTAAAACCAAAATCAGATTGGAAATTTTGATTTTTTATTTTGGAAAATACCAAACCATTGGTTTTTTATTTCGGTTTCGGTTTTTTGTTTTTTTTAAATATATTTTCTGGGGTTTTGTTTTTTTGTTTTTTATTTTTTTATTTCATAGATTTCTTCATCAACAAATGTTGCTAGAATTTAAAAAAAAAAATAATTTGCAAAAACATAATACAAGAGGAATTTGTTCACATTTAGTCATTGAACTTTTTTAGAGGGAAACAAACTTCCGATTTTGTTCACATTTAGTCACTAAACTTTTTTCATTATCTATTTGTCACTGAACAGCCGGTCATAAGGGTAAAATATGAACAGTTTCAATAGTTCAGTGACAAATAAATAACGAAAAAATATTTAGTGACTAAATGTGAACAAAATCAAAAGTTCATTACCCTTTCAAGTCATTATCCCCGTTATTAAAATACTAATTTACTCATATCATTACTAAAATCTGAATTACATAACAAACTTTCAAGTCGAATATGATATGTGAGGAGATTTTCCATTCTTTCCATACATATGGTAATTATATATTTAAAATAAAATTGTTTAATGGGTTACAGGCCCATCTGATCCCATTTCTGCTCAAGCATTCCAACGTTAAAATTTAGTAACACACAAAGATAGAAAACACTATGAACAAGGTCATTTTTATGATTTTTATATATATATAATATAATATGTACAAATTTCAATACACAGTGAACTCTATATTTAATCGATATTTAATATTTCATGACACTGAAAATAAGAATTTATGAATCTGGAATAGTAAAAGATTCACTCCAACAGTCACAAATTCAAATTTCAAATTTCCGCTGCTCCAACGGTAACCCCGCGCAAGGGCTTTCGTATAAATATGTCTAGACGATTTTGAGGCTCCTCATCGCATTTTGAGCATCTCACTCATAGGCAGATTCACGAATTCAACGTTATCCAAAACCCTACTTTTCCTCTCCCCTTCGTCAATTCAGATCTCATGGATTTCCACAGTCTTACCAGAAAAGAACTTCAATTTCTCTGCAAACTCAACAAGATCGCTGCCAACACCAAAAATCATGTCATGGCGGATGCTCTTCGAGACCTTGATACCGTGAGTTCTTAGATTTTGATTTGATTTGTTTAATTCGTATTATTGTTGTCGCTGGTTTTTTGTCTCGATTTTCTTGCATACATCTTGAGTGAAAGCGTATTTAGGTTTTTGATAAGTTATTGGTGATTTGGTCATGTACTGTTACATCTGATTGCAGTTCGTTTATAGGTTTAACTGTTCACTCGTAAATTGTTCGTGGTTTCGTTATAGTTTCTTAATCGGTTGTGTGTTAGACAGTAAATTCAATTTAGTGAAAAGTTTTTTGAATGTTAGAACTCTTGTTAAGTTCTCCGAAAAACAAATCCTTATTTATAAAATGTTAGGGATTTCATTATGTTCTTCGTGATTTCGTCAATAATTTCTCTATTTTAGCTTAAACTCCGGTTGTTATGCTAAAACAATCACTGATTACAGAAAAATTCGTTTATGATGTTGAATAGGTTGAAGGTATTGAGAAGTTTATCAACGTCACACAGTCTGAAGCAGTTGATTTAGACGAGTCAAAAGAAAATGTCGATGTTTCTCCATGTAAAGTCCCAACCACCAGAAACAGAACGGCGAAAACTACCGAAGTTGAAAATTTGAAGCCGACAAACACCAGGACAACTCGCAGGACAGCTAAGAAAGTAGCCGGAGGAGTTGAAGAATCAAAGAACGAAGCTCTAGAAACTCCAGCCCTTTCCAGCACAAGGAGGAAGGCTCTGGCAACTTCATCTTGCCGGAGTGTTAACAGTCAACTGAATGATTGCGAACTAGATTCAAAAGAAGATAAGAAGTCGCCAGAAGCGGTTGTTGCAAAGGGGCCGAGGAAGGTGGCGACGACTTCAACCACCGTGAGAAAGGAGATTGCTGTGCAGAAAACATATGACACGAGACGTTCCACTAGGCAGACTGAAAAGAAATCTGGAGAGCCAAGAGTGAGGAAGCAAAGTGAAAAGGCAATTGAGATTATTACATTGTCGGATGATGATGATTCATCATCCGATGAGGTATCGACTGTTGATGTTCCAGAGAGCACTTTGAATGCAGGTAAGCAAAACACATTCCCGAGTTGATTATAATTTCTGTTTCGTTCCACTTATTCATCCTTGGTAAAACAATTATGCAGTAATTCCTAATGCAGAAGTGGAAGACATTTGTAATGCCTTGGAGGAACTTGATGTTGATATAAGCGAAGAAAAAGAAGATTCTGGGGAAGTTGACAATCTAAAGCCCGAATCAGGAGAAATCCCAAATCCAAATGAGGAAGGAAATTTAGAAGAAGAACTGAATGAGGAAAAGCCAGAAAAAGATGACATCTCAGGCCCTAATGAAAATGGGGATCTTGAAGAGGAAAAACTCGAAAGTGAGGTTATGGAGTTAGAAGAACAAGATAACATTCTAGATGATAGTACTAATTCAACAGGTGAGAGGTTTTTTCAATGTCTTTTTATAATCGTTTATTCAACACCATTCTATCAAACTAATGTTGAATTACGTGTTTTTTTATTTTTGGTGCAGGAGTTGATGTTATAGAAGAAGAAGAAGAAGAAGAAGAAGAAGAAGCAATCCCAGACAATATTGAGGATTTAAATGGTCCAAGAGAATTGAAACTCGAAGCCGTTTCAGAGATGAACAATGGTAATTAGACATTCAGGATTCAGTTTATAGATTCACCATGTTATATTCTAGAAATTGCTTCGTTACATCTTCTGTTCCTTCAGGTTCTTCAATCATGGATAGTGATATGATTCTTGATACCTCTGAGAATCCAAATGAAAACGAAAGTAGCGCGGATGAAGAAATCTCAAATGACCTGAATTTATCCGAAAACACGGGTATGGATACATCACTTCTAAATATTTGTCTATAGGCTCATGTATGATTCATATAGTCTATAAAGTGATGTATGTACTTTCATTTCAGATGACGAGACCTCGGATGTTATTGCTTCCATTGATAGCATCTCTCCTGTGAAGATTGATTCGAGAATAGTTCATGAAGTGGACGCAAAAGTGGAAGAAAAAGAAGAAATTTGTGAATTTGACAATCAAAAATCAGAATTGTCGGAAACCTTGGATGTGATCCCCACCATCGATAGCCTCTCCCCCATAACAGAAGAAGTTGAAGATCATCAGCCGGAAGTTTCCACTGAGGTGGCTGTTGAACTTTCCGGTGAAATATCAGCCGTTTTTGAAAGTTCTTTATCCATCAAAGAGAATGATATGCTCAAAACACCATTAATTTCCACCACCAGGAGAACAACTCCGGCGACTTCATCCCGCCGAACTGTGAACAGTCAAATGAAAGGTCAGAAGATGGAGTGGGGCACACCTGCAACGGTTGTAGCAAGCAGTCGGAGAAAGGTTGCTACGCCTTCAACCACCGTGAAAAGTGAAGCTACTATGCAGAAAACTCCGGCGACTTCATCTCGCCGGAATGTGAACAGTCAAATGAAAAAAGGTAAGACGATGGAGTCGTGCACCCCTGCAACGGTTGTAGCAAGCGGTCGGAGAAAGGTGTCGACGCCTTCAACCACCGTGAAAAAGGAAGCTACTATGCAGATGGAGGTCTGCTCTAGAAAGTCAACAAGGTTGACTGAAAAGAAATGTGGAGATTCATTAGTGAAGAAGGTGATTGAAAAGACTGAAAAGATTGATTCACTGTTGGATGAAGTGAATGCGATATTCCAAGAGGTTTTCTCTGTTGATGTTGCAGAAAACGCCATTGATTCAGGTAGAAAGAAATCTCCCAATTCTTGATTTGTTTTTTTTAATTTAAATTTCTTGTTAAAATCAATAATTATGTTTCCAGATGCAAAAATGGATTCAAATGAAATGACAAAGCCATGTGAAAATGTGGATATTGAAGACGAGAAACTCGAATTGATTCCAGAAGAACACTTGGAGAGCTTTCATGAAGATAATGCTGACGTGGAATTAGATGAAACTTCAAAGCCATGTGAAAATGTGGAATTTGAAGATGAGAAACTCGAATTGATTGCAGAAGAACAATCGAAGAGCTTTGTTGAAGATAATGCTGACGTGGAATCAGATGGAACTTCGAAGGCATGTGAAATTGCAGATTTTGAAGAGAAGAAACCAGAATTGACAGAAGAACTCTCGAAGAGCTTTGTTGAAGATAATGCTGACGTGGAATCAGATGAAACTACAAATCCTTGTGAAAATGTTGATTTTGAAGAGGAGGAACATGATCTGATTCCAGAAGAACACTCGGAGAACTTTCTAGAAGATAATGCTGACGTGGAATTTGTTGAAACATCAAAACCATGTGAAAATGTGGATTTTGAAGGATCTTCTTCCATTGAAGAGAAAAACCAACTCTCTCCAAATCCATCAACTTTGTTTGATCTTATCAGCCACCCAACCCCGGCACATCCGACCACCAGGATGAAAACTCCGGCGACTTCATCTCGCCGGAAAGAGAAGTGTCAACTTAAAAACTGTGAGGAAGATGCAAAAGAAGGTGAGAAGATAGAGTGGTGCACACCTGGTATAGCAACTGAAAGAAGCAGCAGGTCAACTAGGTTGACTGAAAAGAAATCTGAAAAGTCAACAGTGAAAAACGAAAGTGAAAAGGTTATTAAGATTGATGAAGCCAATGTGAATTTCGAAGAGGTTTTTCCTGATGAAGTTCTAGAAAACGCCATGGATGCAGGTAGAAAGAAATTCACCAATTCTTGATTTGTATTTATTTTTTATTCTTTAATATTCTAGTTTTTTATTGCTAAAACCAAAAAAATTCAGGTAATCCAGATGCGAAATTGGAAGATGTTTGTAATTCCTTTGAGAAACTTGAAATGATTCCATGTGAAAATGTTGATTTTGAAGAGGAGAAACGCGAATTGATGATTAAAGGACACTCGGAGAGCATTCTTGATGATGATGCTGACGTGGAATCAGAAGAAATTTCAAACCCATGTGCAAATTTTGATTTAGAACACTCGGAGAACAATGTTAATGGTAATTTTTTTCCAAAATCTATCAAATTACAACAATGCCATTGAGATACAAACCAATTAGGTATATGAATATTATTAATTAATAAAGAAGAAATATTGTGTTTCCTTTTTTCAGGGTCATCAACCATGGTCAACGAAAAAGTTGACTCAGATTCATATGAAGAAGAAAACCAAATTACTAAAATTGGTGTCGCTACTCCAATGAAGAAAATTGGTGGATTTGTTTCGGATGACAAAGAGAACAAGAGTGTGATTGTTTATGGAAACAAGATGAAGAAAGAAAAAGATGAGAATGTTGTTATGAAGGAGAATTTACAAGATGCAAGTTTGAGGCAACTAAGGAAGAAGCTGAAGGCGTTGACTTTGAAGACTATGAATGCGGATAATAAAGAAGCAAGACCAGCACTTCAAACACTGTGTGAGAACCAACTGGTGGGTGGTGAAACGAAGAATTGAAGAGAGATAATTTGTGTTGGTTTAATGTTTGTTTATTTGGTTTGATATTTTATAGTTCAAGGGAGTTTTAAAATCCTTGGATTTGGATCCTCATGCTAAATTGAAAAACTTGTATGAGAGAGGTTAATGATGATAAGTAATTAGTTGTTGAAATGTGGGTTGATAATTTTGAAATCGAACATATATTTCTGGAACAAATTGTAGGTCTATTCCTATCCACCGTTTGGGGTTTCATTTTGAAAGTTATACATATATCTCATTCCAAGTAGGGGTGAGCAAACACAAACCAAGAAACCGAGAAACCGACTAAAACCGACGAAACCGAAACCGAAAAAACCGAAACCGAAGCAAAACCGACGGTTAGGGTTTGAGTTTTTTAAAAACCGAAAAGTCGGGTTCGGTTTCGGTTTTTACCCAGAAACCGACCCATCCAACCCGAGAAACCGACCGATACTTAAAACCGACAAACCGCCCCAAGAAACCGACCCATCCAACCCGAGAAACCAACTCATATTTGATTGTTTTTTGGTTGTAACTAGTGATAGACTATTTGGTTGTAACTTGTGATAGACTATTTGGTTGTAAGACTCATGTTTTTTGAAGTATTTAACTTCAATTCGGTGTTTTTGAAGTATCTAACTTCTTGCTTCATTTTTGGAAAATGGGTTAAAACCCAAAACCCATGATTTAAACCCATAACCCGTGAGTGTATGGGTTGAACCCAAGAAATCGAAAAACCGACCACAGAACCTAAGAAACCGAACCGACCAGAAACTGATCCTATTGGGTTCTGAAAACCAGAAACCAAACATTTATGGGTTGGGTTGGGTTTGGGTCCAAAACCGACCCAAACCGACCCATGCATAACCCTAATCCAAGTCAGGTCTATTCCTATCCTCATCCACCATGTGAGGATATTTAATTTCTTTGAAAATAGAAATAACTTAATTTGAAATCTAGTTGGTTAGCCAATAGTCAAAAATAGCCACCCAAATCGCATACAAAATTTCTCTCTAATGGAGGCTCTAGAGACATCAGGTTGGATTTGGAACATGTCATATATTTGTAATTAAGTAAGTCAATGCACAGAATGAACAAGCCATCAACAATTTCGAAGGACGAAACAACAGTTGGAAGGACGAAATTGCAGTGAGTTTAGTCAAGTTTGGAAGTGCTTAATCGATTAGCCGAACGTTGTGAGTTATTTGTGACAACCAACTTCCGTCATTGGTTGGATTCGCGAACTGTTTCATTATGACCGACTAATGAAATGGACGCGGAAGAACGTCTATATATTTTTTTTTATATAAAAAAGAACACGGATGCTTCGCACGGATGTGATACATTTCAATCATTATTGTTACTACATCGCACGGATGCTTCGCTATGTGTTTAGGATTCAAGGGATTTTATAATGAATGACTGATTTTATACTTTTTCAATCGAGGACGGTGTGAGTTGTTTTGCTATAAATTCTCAACCTAAATTGATCTGAACATGTATAACTCAATTTAATTATTAAATTTATATTTTTTTGTTGTGAACTTATGGTTTTATATAATTGTGAACTTATGGTTTTATCAAATCCAACAAAGGGGTATTACAGTAGTTGGGATTTGTTCTACCATTCAAGGTATACATTACAATAATTGAAAATTTATTTCATAAATTACTCATTTATATGATAATATTAATTTAGTACTAACAAAATGTGTTTCGTATTTGTTAGATATAGATATAGGAGATGTTTTTCTATGTTCGTAAAAAATATGTCTTACGTCAAAATACTCAAATTCCTCGTATAAAATGGTGGTATCAGAGCGGACTTGGGAAAACATTTACGACATTTACAATGTCGATCATGATGAGGCTCGTCAACCAAGATGTGAGATGGTTGCATCTGAGGCCGATGCTGCTACTTCATATTATTTGTCATATCTCAAAACCATTCAATATCACTTGTCCGTAATCCTTTCCCCTTGTACGAAATAACTATAGGAAACGTGTAAGCACACCGCTAAAATAAAAAAATAGTATACTTTTTAACTACGTTTTCTGATATTAAAAAAAGATTTGCATGCGGTTTCTTCATCCAGTCCCTCGTCTAGCAAAATGCATTCAATCGATTCTACACAACGAACCCCTCCATTGACAATTGACAACCAAACTGCACATGCATTTTGCTTGTCAGTATTGCAAACCCGCCTTAAGGCATTTTTCCTAATAGCAAGCTTAAGCTCATCTTTGTTGTTGAATATATCTAGAAGCTCGATCTTTTGACTTGTGTCTACCCTCTGTAATGAATTATTTACATTATCATTGACCGGACATGAAGGAAAAGGGTGGATTCCATACAACATGGTATCTAAATACATATGTTTAGGTTCATCATTTGATTCTTCTCCACCATAATTACTCTCTAAGTCGGATATATCTGACTTTATACAGTTGGTAAACTCCCTGAAACCTTGTAGTTCACCATCATTCAAAAAAAGAACTTTTTCTTTTCCAGTTTCATTGCCGACCTGATTAACCATACATTGTGGTTTGTGATCAAAGTAATCATGTTCCAACATCAGCATCACTAACGTACTATAATTCTACGGTTCCACATACAGAATCAGTGGATGTACTACGTTTTCATTTTCAGTGACACTATGATATTGAGGTACATTAGGAGTGATAAAAGTACATATTGGGTTGTTGCATAGTTTTCTGATGGATATGTTTTCTCCAAATGCTTTTAAAATATCGTCGCCTTCGTTAGCACCATCACTTTTATCAACCACCACATACACATACACAACTGTAACATTCCATTTAAAATTAATTAAATAAATAATAAACTCTGAAGCCCCGAGATGTAATCTTTAATATTATTTTATATTGTTGTAGCCAAAATCAATAATATTTAGCGGGGTGTTGGTTTCGGGGAGTTAAATATCATAATTTTGGATTTTGGGGTTAAAAGTGTAAGTTATGGATTTATTTTGAAAAGATTCTCAGACGTCAGGGGGTGTATGGTATCTTTTGGACTTATATTGAATAGATTTTGGAGGCTAAGGGGTTGCATGGTAACTTTTGGGCTAGTGTTGAAAAGATTATATAAGGGAGGGACTAGTTGTGTCAATTTTGATAGGAAGTTGGGAGCATGGAGACGGGACTTTAAACCCGATACCTCCCTACCCGTTGGATGGATGCGCCTTAAGAAACCCGTCACCATGCTAAAACCCTAACCCTAGGTTAGTCAGCCGCCATCGTTTTGGAGTCCTCCAGCCTCTACCGTCCATGTAACTCATTTTTCGATCAGTTAGTGGCCACCAAGCAACCACCGTCGAGGAACCTACTTTAAGGTCCGTTCTTCTTCTCCTTCAACAGACGCTGCTGTCGTCAACGTGTGTGCAACGCAAGGACCGCCACATTCTTCTTCTTCTGCTGCTACTGTGGTCGTTTACGGTGGCACTTCTTCTTGGATCTTCGGTGCTACATCACAGCCACGTCTGCCGCCCGCCGTACTCCGTCACTCCGCCGTCGCCCACCTCCATGGATCAAATGCAACAGCTTGGTGTGTGTGTTCTGCTCGTGCGTGGGTGCGTGTTTTAGTTGTTGTATGACTGTGGAATGTTCGTTTGGCCAGAAAAACCCCGAGAAAACCACCATGGTTGCCGTCGTGTGGTATACATTACAGTAATTGATAATTCATTTCATAAATTACTCATTTAGATGATAATATTACTTAGTACTAACAAAATGTGTTTCGTATTTGTTAGATATAGATATAGGAGATGTTTCCCTATGTTGGTAGAAAATATGTCTTACGTCAAAATGCTCGAATTCCTCGTATAAAATGGTGGTATCAGAGCGGACTTAGGAAAACGTTTATGACATTTACAATGTCGATCATGATGAGGCTCGTCAACCAAGATGTGAGATGGTTGCATCTGAGGCCGAGGCTGCTACTTCATATTATTTGTCATATCTCAAAACCATTCAAGATCACTTGTCCCTAATCCCTTCCCCTGTACGAAATAACTATAGGAATCATGTAAGCACACTGTTAAAATAAAAAAGTAGTATACTTTTTAACTACGTTTTCTGATATTAAAAAATAATTGCCTGCAGTTTCTTCATCCAGTCCCTCGTCTAGCAAAATGCATTCAATTGATTCTACACAACGAACCCCTCCATTGACAATTGACAACCAAACTGCAACATGCATTCTGCTTGTCTTGTATTGCAAAACTGCCTCAAGGGATTTTTCCGAATAGCGAGCTTAAGGTCATCTTTGTTGTTGAATATATCTAGAAGCTCGATCTTTTGACTTGTGTCTACCCTTTGTAATGGATTATTTACATTATCATTGACCGGACATGAAGGAAAAGGGTGGATACCATACAACATGGTATCTAAATACATATGTTTAGGTTCATCATCTGATTCTTCTCCACCATAATTACTCTATAAGTCGGATATATCTAACTTTATACAATTGGTAAACTCCCTGAAACCTTGTAGTTCACCATCATTCAAAAAAGGAACTTTTTCTTTTCCAGTTTCATTGCCGACCTGATTAACCATACCTTGTGGTTTGTGATCAAAGTAATCATGTACCAACATCAGCATCACTAACGTACTATAATTCTATGGTTCCACATACAGAATAAGTGGATGTACTACGTTTTCATTTTCAGTGACACTATGATATTGAGGTACATTAGGAGTGATAAAAGTACATAATGGGTTGTTGCATAGTTTTCTGATGGATATGTTTTCTCCAAATGCTATTAAAATATCATCGCCTTCGTCAGCACCATCACTTTTATCAACCACCACATACACATTGTAACATCCCAAATTTCGAGGCCAAAAATTTTCATTTTTAATTAAGTAATTCATAAAACAGTTCACCAAAACGTTGTCAATATTACATCAACTTATAAAAACCATAATGTCGTGTCTCAAAACCATATCATCAGAAGTAATGAAAATCAGAGTACAATCCCAGAAACTCAATGCGGAAACCATGTGTGTGTGTGATGCGCTGCTACACCGCCGACTCCTTCCCCTTAGACGAAGAGGTACCTGAAACCAAAACTAAAACTGTAAGCACGAAGCTTAGTGAGCTCCCCCATCATACCCATACCAAAATAATATATGACCCTCGGTATCTTTCACCCGGTAACTGTCAAGCATAACCGGGAGCTGGACTCCCCCTCGGTATCTTTCAACCGGTAATCGGGAACTACCCTCCCCTTCGATATCTTTCAACCAGTATCTGGGAACTACCCTCCCATTCGGTATCTTTCAACCGGTAATCAGGGACTATTTCACCCCTCCTACTGTTAACACATAATAAGCACAATAAGCATAACAATCATAACCATATCAAGCACAGTAAGCATAACACATATCAAGTCCCAGATAATTATCACAAAGACAATCATCTAACCAGTACTCTTACTTGTGGGCTGGCATTGTGGCCGTAGACCCACCCCTACTAGGAGAAGACTCACCTCAAAGTCGTGTAGTGTCCGAATTGTCCTCGGCGTGAAAACCGACTCCCCTCGACTCCTCAATCCCTACATGACAACCCCATCCAAACTATCAACTTGTACTGGCAACCCTAACCAGGGTCAACTCAAATCCGGTCAAAGTCAACTTTGATCAAAGTCAACATCCAATTGACTTGACTCGCCGAGTTGGTCTACCAACTCGTCGAGTCCATACTTCTCTAACCCAAACAAATCCCCGTCTTTACTCGTCGAGTCTAGCAAGAACTCGACGGGTACTTCTTCAATCATACCATCGGGGCCATCTTCATCCGACTCGCCGAGTTCGACCTTGAACTCGTCGAGTTCATCTCCCTCATAAGAATGTGTCCAGTCTATGAATCGTCGAGTTGTATGAACAACTCATCGAGTCCATCTTCAAAGATTGGAAGATTGCCTTGGACTCGCCGAGTCTGCTCAAACACTCGTCGAGGCCTATAATTCCCAGGTCTATAATCCCGTCCATCTTTGTTGAGTCCTTCTCCAGAATCAACTAGACCCCCAAAACAACAAGGGTTGGAGAACCACCACCCGACTCGTCGAGTCCTAAGAACAACTCGCCAAGTCCACTAAAGTCCATGTCCATAAACTCGATTTCTGTCAAGCTCATCTCATCCAAATGGTAGATCTGACCTCCTAGGGCCAATATAGCACGTAAAGCCACGAACTTTACGTCCATGCATGGGTCTTTTAGCCCTAAAGGACTACAAATGATGTCTAAAAGATGAATGGGGCTCTCATGGCCATAAAGTTGGCACCTTTATGCCATGAGACCCCTCAAATGACCAAGATCTGAAGTCAATACTCCCTATAACACTTCACAACCCGAAAATGGCTTAGAAAGCCCTAAATATACACAAAATCCAAGCCCTAAAGATGAATAAACACATGGAAGATCAAGGCAGGAGCTTTTTTACCTTAAATGAGTTGGAAATGGAACACAATCTCTGGATCTCCAAGCTCCAACTTGAACTCCCAAGCTCCTTTCCCCTTCTCAAGCTTCACAATCCACCAAAATGCACTAAAATGGCCTTAGAATACTCAAACAAGGCTAGGGTTTCGATATGATATCTTCTGGGAGTATAAGGGACGATGGAGGTTGAGATAAGTTGTTTAAATAGGGTGCAAACCCTCAAATTTAGGGTTTCACTCAAACAACACCTACTCGCCGAGTCGGTCTCCCGACTCGTCGAGTAGGTCACTTTAACTCCCCGCGGATCACGACTCTACTCGACGAGTTGGGCCACCAAATCGTCGAGTCCCAGAGAAAAATACATGAAATTCTTAAATTGAATACGTACCAGGAATCAGGTGTTACACACATACACAACTGTAACATTCCGTTTAAAATTAATTAAATAAATAATAAACTCTGAAGCCCCGAGATGTAATCTTTATTATTATTTTATACTGTTGTAGCCAAAATCAATAATATTTAGCGGGGTGTTGGTTTCGGGGAGTTAAATGTCATAATTTTGGATGTTTGGGGTTAAAAGTGTAAGTTCTGGATTTATTTTGAAAAGATTCTCAGAAGTCAGGGGGTGTTTTGTATCTTTTGGACTTATACTGAATAGATTTTGGAGGCTAAGGGGCTGCATGATAACTTTTGGGCTGGTGTTAAAAAGATTATATAAGGAAGGGACTTGTTGTGTCAATTTTGATAAGAACTTGGGAGCATGGAGACGGGACTTTAAACCTGATACCTCCCTACCCGTTGGATGGATACGCCTTCATAAACCCGTCACCATGCTAAAACCCTAACCCTAGGTTGGTCAGCCACCATCGTTTGGGAGTCCTCCAGCCTCCGCCGTCCATGTAACTCATTTTCCGATCAGTTAGCGACCACCAAGCAATCACCGTTGAGGAACCTATTCTAAGGACCTTTCTTCTTCTCCTTCAACAGCCGCTGTTGTTGGCAACGTGTATGCACCGCAAGGACCGCCACATTCTTCTTCTTCTGCTGCTACTCTGGTCGTTCACAATGGCACTTCTTCTCGGATCTTCGGTGCTACTTCACAGCCACGTCTGTCGTCCCCCGTTCGCTGTCACTCTGTCGTCGTCCACCTCCATGGATCAAAAGAAACAACTCGGTAGCGAGCTTAAGCTCATCTTTGTTGTTGAATATATCTAGAAGCTCGATCTTTTGACTTGTGTCTACCCTCTGTAATGAATTATTTACATTATCATTGACCGGATATGAAGGAAAAGGGTGGATTCCATACAACATGGTATCTAAATACATATGTTTAGGTTCATCATTTGATTCTTCTCCACCATAATTACTCTCTAAGTCGGATATATCTGACTTTATACAGTTGGTAAACTCCCTGAAACCTTGTAGTTCACCATCATTCAAAAAAGGAACTTTTTCTTTTCCAGTTTCATTGTCGACCTGATTAACCATACCTTGTGGTTTGTGATCAAAGTAATCATGTACCAACATCAGCATCACTAACGTACTATAATTCTACGGTTCCACATACAAAATCAGTGGATGTACTACGTTTTCATTTTCAGTGACACTATGATATTGAGGTACATTAGGAGTGATAAAAGTACATATTGGGTTGTTGCATAGTTTTCTGATGGATATGTTTTCTCCAAATGCTTTTAAAATATCGTCGCCTTCGTTAGCACCATCACTTTTATCAACCACCACATACACATACACAACTGTAACATTTCATTTAAAATTAATTAAATAAATAATAAACTCTGAAGCCCCGAGATGTAATCTTTAATATTATTTTATATTGTTGTAGCCAAAATCAATAATATTTAGCGGGGTGTTGGTTTCGGGGAGTTAAATATCATAATTTTGGATTTTGGGGGTTAAAAGTGTAAGTTATGGATTTTTGTTTTGAAAAGATTCTCAAAAGTCAGGGGTTGTATGGTATCTTTTGGACTTACATTGAAAAGATTTTGGAGGCTAAGGGGTTGCATGGTAACTTTTGGGCTTGTGTTGAAAAGATTATATAAGGGAGGGACTAGGTGTGTCAATTTTGATAGGAAGTTGGGAGCATGGAGACGGGACTTTAAACCCGATACCTCCCTACCCGTTGGAT